GCCACCGCTAGTAGGCTGGAGGCCATCGCTAGCAGGTTGAAGGCCATCGCTAGTAGGTTTTGAATACAGGACTGAGGACACAGATCATGATGCCATTGGCCAATGTTCAAGATGAGACGGTCCAAGTCCGGCACCCCGGAACACCTGCGGGACAAGTATCTGGCATTCAACTGGGACACCTTGTTGACGAGGACGGCAGGACTACTTCACTTTTTGCTACTTGGACTGTATTTCTCACACTCAATCAAATGCCACTGAGTCGCAGGACGCTCAGTCGCAATTGTCGATCCTCCATGCAAAGCTCACAAGTGTAGGACTGACTCCACTTCTCTTGACTCCTGACTTTGGCAATGTGCCGGCCAAGACGGTAACCATAGCAATTCCAAAGTCAGCAATCCAGAACTCTCTTGAACAAGGACATTGAGTCTGCGCCGGCCAAGAGTTTCCTCTTAAATGTTCCAAACACATCCCTCAAATAACCTAAGCCCCCTCAATACTGACTGGAATGACAAATCTTTGAGTGAAGCTTCGAATATTCATCATATGGATCATCCTCATCACCTGAGGTGGCCGATGTGATCTCATCCTCCACCATGCTGATGTAACATTGGCCATTCGTGTCAAACTTTGCCTCACTTGGCAACTGAAGCTGACTTGAACAACTGACTGGTGTAAACGACCAAATGAACTGGCAAACTCTTGGGACTGAAGTGGCAAGTGTACCAAACAGACCACCGATCCATGTTCACCAAAGCTGATAGCCTCTCGTTGCGCGGAGCTTGTTCCGCTCCAAAGGTATAAACAAAGAGAGAGAGAGAGACACAACACAGAAAGAAAGCTCCATATAAAGGAAAAGGGATAGATAGAAAAGGTCTAAAGAAAAAGACTATGTATTGACTTTTCTTTATTTCACTTCATTATTCATGTGTGTTTAATCATTCTTCGATCATTGTTGATGCTGGCTGGCATCTACATGACTTTCCAAATCACGTGCCCAGCGGACAAGCTCCCGCGTGCCCAGCGCGAAACAGAAAAGGGCGAGTAGATGGCACCGACAGGGCCCTTCGGAGACACGCCCAGGTTAGGGGGAGCAGACCAATTTTAGGCGATGATGGCGCGCCTTTTTCTGGTCATTCACGCCTTATTTCAGTGGTTCATGTGAGTATAGATAGCGCAACTCTACATACCTTACCCTCTTATGTCCCTCTGTCTCCTTTCCCTCTCCTCTCATATCCTTTGACCTTCCGTGTCTGATCCTTATCCTTTTGCTTCCTTTCCTGCACTTCTCCTTTACCTGTCCTCCCGTTTGCTTTCTTTCCTGTTGTTTCTTTCTCTTTCCTGTCGTCTCCCTTTATTTGTTTCCTTTCCTCGCCCTTGGTTTGTTGACCTTGCCTTTCCCTTCCCTTTCCCTGCACTTGCCTTCAATCTCCATTGACCTATTGTAAGAACGGTGCACACTAATAGATGGCGCAATCCTGGAGTGAAAGGCGATACAGTACTGTAATGGTTAATGATGGTTGAGCCATTAGATAGTCTAACCGGTCTTTCTCCTTTCATGCCCTTGCCCTTTGCTTTCCTTTCCTTTTGTTTCTTTTCATTCAGTTCTGCTTGACCTTCCCCTGGTCCTGTATTTCAGGGGTTCCTGTGAGAAGCAGATGGCGCAACCTCTCCTCTACTCTCCTTACCTTCTCCTCTCACTTTCCTTTCTTTCCTAAATGTCTTCATTCCCTCTCCTTTCATGCCCTTTCCCTTACTTTCTTTTCCTATCCTGTGGTTTCCTTTCCTTCGCTTATCCTTTGCCTTCCCCTGGTCCTGTACTTCAATGGTCCCTATGAGAAGTAGATGGCGCAAAGCAGGTTGTTGGGGAGATTATGGAATACAGTATATGTAGAAGTAGATGGCGCAAAGCACAATTAAGGTTTGAAATCCAGACATTGCGGCCCAGAGTTCACAGCCTACAACAACCAAAAGCAGCTAGACAATATTCAAACACAAGAATGGCTTTCCACGAGCCCTTTCCATTAGATTAGAACAAGCTTGAACTTGAACAAGCCCCATTCCACAAGCTTGACCTTGAACCCTGCTCATGGGCAAAGATGGCGGAGCACAATCAAGGGTTGCAATACAGCATTTATGGCTCCAACGGGCTTGATGAGCCATCTATGTGATCATCAATTTTTTGCAGAATAAGGCGTAACACCCGAAAAAAAGTTGAACATGAAAAAAAAATTGCAGACTAATCTCCTTTGATGGCAATCAGGGTCACTATCTAGGTAGATGGCGCATTGTTATAGCTGTGCCATCAACAGATTTGAAACCCCCTCAAAATGATACGCCTAGGTAGATGGCTCAATTCAGAAATCAGTGCCATGCACTTTTACCCCGGAGTTAATGTTGATATAGTGATCCCCAAATATAATGGAAATTGTTTGTTTCCAATATATGTTTAGTCGGGGATTTACTTTTCTATCTATCCGGGGTCTATGATCTATGTATTCTGAAATCACCGTGTCCCAAAAAAAGCCGCAGAGAACGGACGGCCCCGCGGGGCCGGATTCGCTCTTTCCGCCTCGGAGTGCCATCCACTTTGGCCCCGGTGTATTTGAATCGTTTCAATCCTTTTTTCGGGATGGTCGTGCCCCGGCCAACATGGACGCGCAACAGATCTACTGATCTACAACACGTTGGACAAGCTCAGATGGTGAGAGGAAAAGGCCGTCGTTCCAAGAGCTTGTTCCAAAAAAGGTTCAAAATTAAAGGACCGGATAACGACCGTGTTCTATAGACAGTTTGCTGGACATTGGCCGGGCAAGTTGCACTCAAGGAGACAAATGTGTTGTACCCAGCTGGGGCACCTTCATCGCCACCTTGCATTGAGATTGGTCCAATTGGGCAAAACAAAACACACTTATCATTGATCATGCCAAACCTTATGCCTTCTTCTCCAAACCGTGCATTTTATTCATCATTATGTTGCTCCAAATGTCACATGTGCATCTTCTCTAAGACAGTCAGCAATTATGATTCGAATCCATGTTGATCCCATTTATGCTTTGACTGTTACTTTCTGGGGGTGAAAAGGACAATCCTTGCACCACAACAACACCAAGCATCTTCTGTTCACATAGCTGTAGTAGCCACATGGAGCCTCAGGATGGGTCTTCGCAAGCTCTTGGCATATGCGCTTTGTGCTGCAAAACGCATCGCTTAGCGCTTTGTGGGTCCAGGTGTGCAGCGGTCTGGAATCAGCACCCGAACGAGCACAAAGAGACAAAGAGAGAGAGAGAGAGAGGGGAATGCACTTTCAATGATCCAAGAAACTGTTGAGATGACCAGTGTGAGCGAGTCTCCATCTGCAATGCCGGAATCCACCAAGATTTGATCTCCACCTTTCAACAGAAAAAAGAGGCCCAAGCGCAAACGGAATGGGCAACTGGCAACCAGCAAAAGACACTTTCTCGCCACTTGTTGCGCAACTGAAAGGACCCCGCATGGGAAGTGATGAAACTCTTCCACTCAGGATTGGGGATTGAACCACAAACTGCACGCTGTGCCTTTGACAGGTGGGGTACCTCCCATTGCTAATTGAACTTAAGAATACTTAAAGGCAAAGTCAAGCTTGCCCTACATCTGCGTGATCTCCTTTTGCAATCTTCTGCCAAATGGCGCAATACTTCTGTACCATGAATCAATCGCATTGCCCAACCTGGGTTGAACACTTCAGAACACTGAAAGGAACATGTTACCTGGGTATCTATAGTCATCTTGCTGATTTCCCCGGATGTAAATTATGGGGAAAGAGCTGGAAGGGGCTTCATTTGGAGGAGGACCACGAAATGAACACACCAAGGAAAAGGACTCAGGTGGGTTGTCTCCATGGCTATGGCTAGTTCTTTGCAACAAAGCTTCCTGGGTGCCCAATGTGAGAGAACAACCCGTCCGAGGCCGAGCAGTATGAACTAAATACAAATTGGAAGGTGCATGGTGTGGGCGCTGTTCCTTCGCAGGCGGTGCTTAGATCATGTCTCCGGATAACCCTTGTGGCCTTGGTGCCTAAACTTCCATGAAACATGAGCATTCATCAAGCAGCTGGACGGTCAAGGCATGATCTGACCCGATCCAAGTCTCACGATTCGGAGTTTTAACATGTTTAACCCGGGTCCTTCAAACGCTCTTAGGTTGGAGGCCATCGCTGTTGGGTTGGAGGCCATCCCTGTTAAGTTGGAGGCCATCACTGTTAAGTTGGAGGCCATCACTGTTAAGTTG